AGAGAGTTGGCAGCCAACGGTTTTGAAAGGGCCAGCAGACACCATCTTGGCCGTTACAGGCGCAGGAACCTCGCCGAAAGCAACCACAAAAATGACTCATTGGGGGGAATGTGTGTGCTTCTGACTGTAATGTTAACTCTGTGAATGATTTTGGTTTTGAAATAAAACCCAAAAAGTCACATTGAGAGCACAATCCTACAGTCCTCTGCAGAATCCTCACACATGTTCCCCACACCAAGCACTGCGACACACCTGCATGTTCACGCAGTTAGTCATATTACACGCCCACAGCCAGCTGTAAGGGTGCGCTCCATTTGCGCACCGGCCCTAGCTTCCAGCCAGGCCCAACACATCCCGCTCCCCCCACAACGTAGGGTGGGACGGGATGTCATGGCACTATCGCAACCACGCGCGGCTTCATCCGCTGGCACTTTGTCATCCCCATGCACGGGTCCGGCTCCCACTTGTCCTTTATCTTTGGACACCACGCTTCGCGGTGTGGATCAGCCTCTTCCAGCTGTTTAACACTCGCCCTTTCAAGTGCAGCCCTCCATGGGTCGCTCCCAGTTCTCTGGTGCGAGCGACGGCGGTAAGGGCACCAACCCAGTCCTCTGACGTCGTTCACGTGACCTCGAACATGCGTCCGCAGTCAGAACGTGCACAAGAATGGCGCCGCCTTTGTCTCATGAGCAAATGGATATCGGACACCATTCATTACGGTCACACACTCCATTTTCCGCTCCTCCTCCCTTCAACAGGATCATGGAGACGACGTTCACGTCACAGGAACAATCTCAGGCCCCAGAGCTGGAGTTACAGGAACTTCTGTCCAAGGACGCCATTTCCCAAGTTCGTTGCGGGCAAGAGCTCTCGGGCTTCTACTCCTGTTACTTCATAGTACCGAAGAAGTCGGGAGGAATGAGACCAATTCTCGACCTTTCCCTGTTCAACTGCTCCATAGCAGTGATGCATTTCCGCATTCCGTTAACAATGAGGCAAGTCCTGGAATGCGTGCGCTCCGGGGCCGGTTCACGTCCATAGACCTGAAAGATGCATACTTCCACATCCCAGTAATTCCCAAGCACCGGAAGTTCCTGCGCTTTTCATTCAAGGGAGTTCAATACCAGTTCAATCGTCTCCCTTTCGGCTACTCGCTAGCCCTGCGCACCTTCTCCAAATGTCTGGAGGCCGCGCTGCAGCCACTGCGCTCGGCGGGAATGAGGGTTTTATTTTACCTGGACGATCTGCTCCGTTGCGCCCGGTCCAAGGACGAGGCGTCAGAGCAAACCAGGAAGTTAATAGAGCATCTGTCAACCCTGGGGTTTTCCATAAACTGGGAAAAGAGCTCCATCCTTCCATCCCAGTCGATTGTGTTTTTGGGGTGGAGCTGAACGCCTCTCTACTGAGAGCATGTTTATCTCTGGCGAGAGCGGCAGATCTCACCACGGTGATCTCCCGCGTGCAACCCCGCAAGATGGTGAGAGCCCTGTTAGTTATGAAACTTCTGGGCATGATGGCTGCAGCCCACGCTGTGGTGCTGTTAGGTTTACTGCACACGAGACGCCTACAGCGTTGGTTCATCCGCCTCCGGGTACACCCGATACGTCAGAAGAGACGTATGTTGGGGGTTCCCCCTTCAGTGGGCGGGGACCTCGCTCACTGGGGGAATCCCTGCATCCTCTCACACGGGGTTCCCATCGGACGTCCTACGTCACACGTATCTGTGCTTACTGATGCGTCACTGTTGGCACGTGCTTTTCCCATAAGGTGGCAGATCGCTGGCTCTCTCACACGCACGAGCACGTAAATGTGTTGGAGCTTATGACAGTGAGGAATGTGATCAGACACTTCGCTGTCCTTCTTGAGGGCCGTCATGTCGAAGTTCACACAGACAACCAGGTGGCAGCAGCCTACATAAATTGCCAAGGGGGAGTTTGATCCCTCCCACTATTGCGCGTAGCCACAGATTTACTATATTGGGCACATGTCCACCTGCTGTCCATCAAAGCCACCTACATTCTGGGGGTCCTGAATGTGGCAGCACACATCCTGTCGAGAGGGGGACCCCGCGACTCCAACTGGCGTCTGCATCCCGCACTGATATCACAGATCTGGGTCAAGTTCGGGGAACCACCTGTGGATCTGTTCGCGGCTCGCGAAAACGCTTAGTGTCGCCTGTGGTGGCCTGTGATTCGGAGTGTGTGGGCACCTTCTACCATTGCATCTTATGCTGCTAAATGGGCAGCTTTCCAGAAATGGTGCACAGAGCGGAATGTTCAAGCGCTCTCCTGCCAGCTGGCGGATGTCCTATCGTTTCTGCAGATACGGACGGACAGGGGCCTCGCATTCAGCACTATTAAAACATATGATGCAGCTATCTCATCCTGTCACCAGGATTTTGGTGATAGGTCTGTTTTCAATCATCCCCTCACAAAACGTTTTCTAAAAGGTGTCAGAAGGAACGGACCTGTGTCTCGCCCGCTAATTCCCCAGTGGGATCTAACGGTGGTTCTGCGCGGCTTATCTGAAGCCCCATTTGAACCCTTGGACCAGGTCTCACTCAAGTTCCTGTCACTCATAACTGCCTTGCTTCTGGCACTGGCATCAGTTAAGAGAGTGAGCGACCTAACTAACCGCCCTCTCAGTGGCTCCCGCATGCCTCAGGATCCTGGAAGATGGCGGGTCTGCTGTTTTCTGCCCCAACCCAGTCTTTGTGCCCAAAAACATTAATGCTTCCTTCAAATCCAGGTCAATTTCATTGGCTGGACTTTTTCCTCCTCCCCATAATTCTGATGAGGAGTCGGCTTCCCATCTTCTCTGCCCGGTGCGCACGCTCGCACGATATGTGTCACGCACTTCAGGGATTCGCCGCTCACAAAGCATGTTTGTGCACTACAGGGAGTCTTCCCTTGGGCACGCGCTGTTGGCCCAGCGCCTTTGACTCTGGCTATGTGTGACGCCATTTCATTCGCTTACACATCATCAGGGCGGGATCCTCCTGAGACACTCAGGGCTCACTCAGCCAGAGGGATTTCCTCTTCTATGGTGCTCCACAGGGGTGTGTCGATGGAAGACATTTGTCAGGCTGCTTCATGGGCTTCCCCATGTCCCTTTACTCGTTATTATTTATGAGATGTGTCTTCAGGTTCCATCACTCGTTCAGTGCTTGGACCTCAGCAGGCTGAGTGAAAACATCATGGCACCACATCAGCCCTACTTCAGTGATGCATATCCAGATGGTCATGTAAACAATCATTAGCTATGTCCCTCATGATGGATCCCATTCCATCCATTGCCCTCTTGTTACCCGGGCACCTTGTTATCTTGGCATCCCTCATATTTGAGCCAGTGATTACATTGATGGACCATTAAATTCATCTTCTTGTGGATGATATTTTTTAGTGGGAACCCCACTCTTATCTCTGGCTGCATCAGCCTTTTGCCCTGGGCTGAGGCTCTGCGACCCTCGCTAAAAGGAGACATGTTGGGTGTGTCCATTGGTTGAGGTAACCAGTGTGGCGTGAACCCATCCAGCTGCGCATTATTCCAATAGCAGCTCGCTTAAGGGCTAAGACTAGACGAAATAGAACGTTGGTTACGTATTGTAACCCCAGATTCTATGAGTCTAGTTGCAGCCCTTAAGCCACTGGCCCCACTGGTTCTGTTAGGACCAAGAGCCATCGGGGGCGAACAGTGGAGTCGCTCCACTTGTATACCCACATTTAAGCTCTTCATGATTGGCTGATGCTGAGATCATCCTTCCAATAGCAGCTCGCTTAAGGGCTGCGACTAGACTCATTGTATCTGGGGTTACAATACGTAACCAACGTTATGTTTTATTTACTTTAGATGAAACTAGTGAAACGTGCTGGTTTCAATCACATTTCCTGGAAACCCAAAAGTCCTGCAGGGAAAACCCTGTCACATCCAAACCATAAGGAGTCGACATATTTCCATGTTTCCAATTTGAAACGCTCACAACAGGAAGGAGTACGGATGAAATCCAGCCTTTGATTTATATTCAAATGAGAGGTATAGAGGGGAAATTGGATTTCTTTTTCATTTGAGAGAATGAGTTTCCTGGCTGCAGAATGCGTTGAATCGTCTGGTCGTGTTAATATCCAGCTCTGAGCATCAGGAGCTACTCTTCATTACAAAGATTCAGAGGAACTTTTACACGTCCTCGCCTCAGAGCGGGCTGACGATTTCCATTTCAGCACCTACGTTCAAACAACACCCCCAAGGCCATTTAAGACTATTTCAGTCATTTAAATTTACACATGAAAGATGATAACATATCAAAGGAGTTCTAGTTTACATTCAGTTTCTGCTTCATGTCCCCACGCCGGTTCTGGAGGATCCTGTGTTGGCCGAGCTGGGATGTTTGCACACTGATGAAAAACTCAGCAATATAGAAAAAAAAATGTAAATGAGACCGTCACGAGAGGGGAAATTACAGCAACACCACTGGTTTTAGAGAGGAGGCACGATTCAGTCGTGCACGAGGCCCGTGGTGTTCCTCCTTTATTCTCAGGTCACATGACTGATGCTTTATGTAAAATAACCCAAAACACAAATGATATGGCAGAACCCTCAAAAGGGAGAATGTAGGTCTGATTATGGTTTCTGAAATAAAACAGCAACACTTTCTACAGATCTGAACAATTAGTCTGTTGGAGGGATGGCATGAACCAAACAGGAAGTCAGCCATGTTTAAACAAAATTCCCATTTTGACATTTTACACACATCTGTATGTTTATAATGTGAAGCCAAAATGACACGAAAGGTAAGCTGTCAAATGAAAATCTGATCATAAGGCAGACGCCTGCCGGTCAGAAGACTGGAGGTCGTTGCTTCGTTTAAGATTAAAATGTTGGATTATAGAAAATATCCACCTTTCTGCTCCTGAGCCCATCATGATCCAGGTTTTTAATCCCCAAAGCAAAAATAAAGCTTTTATATTTGTCGCCACCTGCTGGACTGAAAAAACACCACACTCTTCCTTCTTTGTTTTTATTTTTCTGCAAACAAACAAACAAATGAGTCATTTGATGGGTGAAATTCTATAAGACTTCTTTGAGCTTTTTGTTTTTTCATGATTTATGGTTTCTAAGACTTCTGAGGCACGACAACAGAAGTGATTAGAATCGGCTTTTTAGTGATCACGCAAAACTAAAACACTGAGCGTTAAAGTGATACTACTTCTTTTAAAACCAAGTCAACTCCCAAATCTACTGACTGGAGAAAGATCATCTCTCTGTGAAAGGAAAACATGAATTTTGCACGATGATACTGATTTATTAAAGCCGTTTTTAGCCTTCCAGCACAACTGAATTCCATTTAGTGTCTCAGTTTTATGGCAGCAGCTGTCTCTGATTTCACCTAAAACCACAAACATCCTTTTTACCCGGCTTACAGTTCCCACTCTTAGAGAAAAGGGAGGGAAACTGAATCTGTCAGCTCCCTGAAAAAGCATTAAAAACCAACGCAGGCTGTTCTTCAACTCCCACTTAGTTTGCAGATCTTTGGCATGTGTGACGCTCAGCTGTCGCTGTGACCAGCAAACTAAGTTAATGCACAACGTTCCCTTAGCGGTGTAAAAATGTGGTTTGATGAGATTTCTGAGTCTAATTTTGCTACCTCCAAAGTACCTGAGGCAACCAGAGAAGTTCAAATCCATTTTTCTGCACACGTGCTTTCAGGTCTTGATTGTGGTGCCCCAGATGAAACCCCTAGATCCTGCAACGAGACAGCCTCGCGGTGAAGGAGCTGAATAGTTCAGGACCTCCATGACTAGATGCACAATCCAACATGCATTCAGAGTTGTGGTCTTTAGAGCAGCAGGTTTCTCACATTTAACTCCAGTAAAAGCTTTAACAGGCCCACAGATATTCTGGCTCTTCAGCCTTTGGACCGGCTGGGACTCTGGCAGATTTCATTCTAGGTAGTCCAGCTGATTAGTCTGGGTGAGCTCATGATGACAGTTTCTGTATCAGAGCTCTATAGTAAACATGTTTGTTGTGACAATAATGCATGTTCAGTGAGAGAATTAAAATCTTAGTTCCTGCTCTGAAGAGCTGGAGCAGAGCCAGCTCTGGCTCCTGAAGCAGCTTCCCGATTGGCTACTTGGTGGCAGATTCTCCATCGGCCCTCATGCTGAAGGGCTCCAGGCGCTCGCTCTCAGGCAGCATGTTATTGAGGCGCTCCATCAGGGGCACCGTCTGGTCGATCCCCATCTGGATGCGACGCAGGATCATGGACATCTCGTTGACCTTCTGGATCTGCTCGGCATACTTGGCATAGCGTTTCTGGCGCTCCTGCATTATGTTGAAAAGCGTTTCCACCGACAGGTCCATCTTAAGAGTCAAAGAGACAGGGAGGGTAAAAGCTCTGCTGGTATGGAACAATCTGGTGACTTTTCCAAAATGTGAACAAAAACATAACCTCTTACAGATGTCTTCTGCTTCTCAACATCACATATGTTTCAGACCAGCAAATAAAGGTTTCCTGAGTAAATACAGATGCAGTTTTCAGATGATGAATTTATTTATGAAGTGAACACATCTCTCCAAAACAACCTGTGTGGAAAAGCAACTGCCCCCTGAACCCACTAGCATTTGGATCCCATGTCTGGTAACTGGTCGTGAGTCTCTAACGTTACTGTGGAGGAATCTTGTCACTCTCTTATTTACAAATTACTTTAATTCACCCACATAAGGTTTTATAGCAGGAACAGTCTCTTTAAGGTCAAAGAACAAACATTCTCCTTCAGGATGTTCTGTTAGAACGTAGAAGTCACGGTTCCATCAATTTCAGCAGGTGGTCCTGCAGCTGCAGAGCAGCCCCACACCATCACACAACTACCACCATGTCTGACTGTTATGGTGATGTTTTAGTGTTGGTCTGACTCCAGATGGAACAAGACACACCTTTTAGAAACTTCTGCTTTTGTCTCTTCAGTTCACAGAATAATTACTCAGAATTTTGGGGGTAAATGTGAGACGAGTCTGTTGTTTCTGGTCAGCAGAAAATCTAGCATTGGTGGTGCCCCCGTTCCGTCATTCCTGTCAAGATTTTTAGATGGATGCAATTCTAAATCCAAACACTAGTGGCGTTTATGAGCCAAATAAGTTTCCAGTGTGAAAGGCTGTTAGGCTAATGTTGGCCCTTCCATAAATATTGTGGCTGCTTGATGGGCCCACTCAGACAAAGCCTACCATAGAATCTGCTTGGTTAGATAAATTTTGCTGTAAAAAAATAAAATCATTTGAAACCTGAAACTTGGGTTGATTTTCTTTCATTTTGACATTTGTTTGCTGACCTGAAACATTTAAGTGTGACAAAAGGCACACACTGTTTTGTAGAGGCAAACAGTTTCACAGCACTGAGTCCAAAAGATGTAGCCAGTACTGGCAGCTGCAGCAACCTGTAGGAAAACAACGAACCTCTTTGATCCTCTTGACAAGAGCATTCTGGTCAAAAGCCACGGCCTCAGCACACTGGTGCAGGTGGTCCTGGTATCGGGTGCAGAGTTGCAGAACCTGGGATGAGTCCAGCCTCTCCAGGCAAACACTGCTGGGCGTTGTTTGACCACTCAGGACTCCTACAGGGGGGCAATAGGTGCGCCCATGTTGGATCTGAGTAAAACTTCCAAATGCTGCAGCACTTTAGGATCACAGTAAAAAACCACATGAAGAAGCCAATGGGAGCCATCTCATCCTTTACCTTCTAACAGAGCTAACGAGTAAGACAAGTCAGCAACACACTGCGGCTGAGTGGTAAGTAAACGGAATGCTCCCTTTAAAACTACTTTAACAACAAGCATGGCTCTCAGGCTGCAGGTGTGGTTGCTAGAGTTTCTACTACAACAGCGGTCAGAACTTTCAGGTCTCAGGCTCCTCTCTGTTGGAACCAGCTTTAATTTGCCTCCACTCTGTCTACTGTTAGACTTTCCTTTGTAATAATCCAGGTTCATCCCTTTAGTTATGCTGCTTAGGCTCAGACTGCAGGACGCTCCACCCCACCCATGCATGAAGCTGTTGAACTGTCCAGCTCCGTCCTGCTGATCCTATGTGCACAAAGGAGCTCAAATCTAGATTTATCGCTATGTTTACTTCCCTGCAATTATTTAATGTTTTAAATGTACATAGGCAGTTGTCTAACACACATGCAAATCGTTTGTATTTATTAAAAATAACCCTGCATAGTATTTATTTTTAATCCATTCTTAAAGGCTAGACATCACTTTTTCATGTTCCTAATCTGATTTTACTGTAGTTTTAGTTGTTATGGAAGAAAAGCCACAATCCTACAGCTGAGATGGTCCTGGCGCTTCCCAAATCTTTCACCATTACATCCCCTCTCCTTCAATCGTTTCTTAATGGAACATGGTGGATTTTTGAGCAGGTCAACGAGGGCCAGAGGGAGTTCGGTACCTTTTAAAAGCGGTTGAAAGGTGGGAATCTCCTGAAGTTTGATCACATCAGGGTCGTTGTGAATATTTCGCATGGACTGAGTTCCCGGGGCCACAACCACAATATCATCCATCTTTGCTTTGGGCTTTGCTGGAGACGGCACAGCTGCAACGAGTCATGAGGATTTAATTCGATCTTGGATCATGAGTGACAAACACTCTGAGGGTTTTCTTACCCGGCGAGCTGTGCTCGGAGTGTTTGTGCTCCGCATCTCCGCTCTGCTCGGCTCCCATCCTGCCAGTGTCAGCTCAGCAACCCCTCTACCAACCTGCTAGACGCTCCAAGGAACAGTGCAGGTGACTGGAGGGAACACACGATCTTCAGCGCATCTGAAGTAGATCGCATCGGATCTGCCTTCAGATTTCACCTTAACAGCAGCGAAAAAACTAGATACTTGTCTAGATCGAGTTTAGCACCAGGCGGAGCAATAACCAGAAACTTTGGACAAAAAAAAAAACTGCGTTTAAACCACAGGAAAAACACATTTGCTTTCTACTTCCGTAAACAGTGACCCTCACTTCCTGATCAGTCAGCGGGAAACTCTACTGCCCCCTACTGCCGAGGAGGCTTCATTACAACAACGTGAGAAGAACTAAAAAAGCTTCGCTGCCCTGCTGCAAAAATATGACCTAAACAGGGGCGGATCTAGAAAATTATTTATGGGGTGACAGAAGAGGGGCAAACATTTTTCTAGGGTGGCAATACATACTTACACACATAGATTACATATATATGTACACACACACACACACACACACACACACACACACACACACACACACACACACACACACACACACACACACACACACACACACACACACACACACACACACACACACACACACACACACACACACACACACACAGTGAGCTCAACCAAGGTAAATCTAACTGCACTGTGTGTAAAGAAATATTTCACTGCAACGAGATATTGTACTTTGGTTTTATTATTCACTCAGAAACATGTTTTCTTTTATCTTTTCCCAGTATTTACAAATTCATTTGTTTTGGGTGCTTACTTAATAAGCTTAAAGGCCCATCACGAAAATAAAACACATTATAAAATTATGTCCTTCCTACAACAGCTGAATGCGGCGGTTTCCAGGTTGCTCAGCAAAACACTTTACACATTCATCAAGATCCAAAGATTTTGCCCGTTTTGATTCAATGCTGAGTACAGCCAAGCTTGTCATAGCAGACCGCAAATAGGTGTTTATGAGCCTGAGAGTTAAAAAACTTTGTTCACAGGATGCACTGCTTACTGGTAAAACAACAGCTATTTTACACAACCTGAACAATTCATGAAAAGCATCCTGATATGGGTCTAAAAACTGAGTCATCTCCATCAGAGTGGTAGGACTCTCTTTTTGCCCTTTTTTCTCAACAACACCCTTCTTATCTGATGTAACTCATGTTTGAGATCCTCAGTGTTGGAATCATAAGCTTCAGCCAACAGAAGAACAGTCTCCTCTCTCAAAAATGTCTGACTTGATGGATTTAGTGCCTGCACACCTTGCATTATGTTACAGCTTGCGTTAGAAAATCGTCTTCCTATTTCTCCAATCATGTTATCCAGAACTGGATAGTACACAGAGATGCAAAAAGTGTGTTTGTTATCTGGAACTTCATGCTGTCCTAAGGTGGAGGCAACGACACTGCCCTGAAGCACTTTTGATGTGACTCTTGGCCTCTTTGGTTTGTGCTGAGTTGTCTCAATGCTGCTTTGTGTGCATAACTCAAGTGTTTCACTCCACATTTCCTCAAAAGAGTCATGACTACGGTACTGGATCAGTGTCTCTTTAAGTGGTTCAACAAGCTCAACAACCTTGGAATAATCCACCGTTTTAGACTGGAGCAGGTCTGATAAATATTTGGAGTCACTGAGAACCTTTCGAAAGAGAAAAAGACATCCGGCAAAATTTAGATCAATCTGAGCCAATATCCCTCTTGCTTCAACAGCTCATTGTGGATGTTCCTCAGATGCAATCTCTTCAAGCACCTGTACAATTGCAGGCAACCTGTCCATAACATTGCGACATGCTATGTGCCTACAAGCCCAGCGTGTATCACTTAGCTGTTGAAGCTCTCGTGGTGCACCATCAAACATCTCCCGCTGCACTTCCGGCCATCTGTTATGTACATAAGAGCCAGATATGAATGTGTACATTCGTTCCAACAAGGAGAAGAAGTTTCCTGCATCTGCCACACTTTTTACAGCGTCTACAATGACCAAGTTTAAGCAATGTGCGCTGTAGTGAACATAAAAGGCATGTTTAGCC